GCCCTCGCTCGTGCAGCTGCTGCTCCTCGTCCGCGCCTCGCCCCTCGTCCTGCCGCTTCTGCTGCTGCCGCTCCTGCTCCTCTGCCTCCTCGGTGTGGGCGCTGTGAGGTTTCGCGACGGTCCTTGTCACACCGTTTTGGGGGCTGTGGGTGTCCATGGCGCAGTCAGGCATAAAGGTGCGTCGATACGTACTCCGCCCCAGGTGGCCAGGAAAGGGCGATTCACGCTTGAACAGATCGATCCTGGCCCCTCGAACTTCGATCCTCCCCCTCTTTCTCGTCCTTGTGCCTCAACCTTCAAGCATGCAAGTGCTCCTAGCACGTGCCCTGGAGCGGGAGGTGGCTGCCAAGGGCGGCGGCTGCAGAAGAAGCACATCCTCGTAGCTCTCTGCCACTTCCAGGCGGTCCGTGTTCTGTCCCTGCTCGTTTTTTTCTTGGCCCTCCTCCCTCCTCCCATCTCTGCCTCTGCCCTCCGTATGTCTCTGTTTCGACACACGCCTCACACTTTTTGTGGTCCCGCGGCGTTCGCATGTGGGCGTCGCGCCCGTTTCGGTATATACCTCACGAACATCGTGGTACAATAGGGAGCTCCGCCTAAGGCCCCAGTGGCGACGTTCGCATGCGGTCGTCACGCCCGTGTCGGCTCACCCCTCACACGTTTCGTGGGCCCATAGGAAGTTCCATCTGAGGCCCCAGTGGCAGCGTTCGCGTGTGGTCGTGTCGACACACCCCTCACACGTTTCGTGGGCCCATCGGAAGCTCCACCGAAGGCCGCAGTGGCGACGTTTGCATGTGGTCGTCACGCCCGTTTCGGCACATCCCTCACACGTTTTGTTCCACCAAGCGCCCCAGTGGCGACGTTCGCATGTGGGCGTCACGCCCGTTCTGGCGCCAACCTCATAAGTTTCGTGACCCTTACGAGGGTCCCACCTAAGGCCCCACTGGCGACGTTCGCATGTGGGCGTCACGCCCGTTTTGGCACACCCCTCACACTTTCCGTGGCTCCATAGGCAGCTCCACCGACGGCCCCAGTGGCGACGTTCGCATGTGGGCGCGACGCCCGTTTCGGCACACCCCTCAAACGTTTGGTGGGCTCATAGGGAGCTTCACTTGAGACCCCAGAGGGCGTCACGCCCATTTCGGCACTTCCCTCACGCGCTTCGTGGCCCCATACTGTTTCGGCACACCCCTTGCGCGCTTCGTGGTCCCGTTGAGAGCCCCCAGTGGCGACGTTCGCATGCGGCTCCCCCCATTTCGGCGCGCCCCTCACTGGTTTCGTAGCGCCCATGGGGAGCTCTGCCGAAGGCCACAATGGCAGGGCCCGCATGCGACCCCCCCATTCGGGCATGCCCCTCGCGCGTTTGGCGGCTCCATGGGGAAATTCACCGAATAACATACCCACAGCTGCGGTAGTCACAACTGCATATGGGTGGGTCTTTCGCCGGGACATTCGTTTCAGGAATTTGGTGGTCTGGGCCATTGATCCCTCTCCTCATGAACAACGTGGAGGGCGTGCTGTTTTCAAAATGTGGCTCTCGCCTCGGCACCTCGCGCCTTCGTCTTACGTAGCAGTGTCCAACAGCTACAATACTGAATGGCGCATGTGTTCAAGGTGTGGCTCTCGCCTCCGCGCCACGCGCATTCGTTTTTACAGTGTTCAGCAGCTGCAACAATGAATGGCGAGCGTATTCAAGATGTGGCTCTCGCTGTCGCGCCGCGCACATTCGCCTTGCGAGCTCCCAGCAGTTACAAGAGGATGGTTGGCGGGTTATGTTCAAAATGCGGCTCTCGCATGCGCGCCGCGCACATTCGCCTTCCGAGTTGTCAGCGGTTACAAGGATGGTTTGGCGGGCCATGTCCAAAATATGCAGCTATCGCCCCAGCGCCGCGCACGGTCGCCTCGAGTTCAAAGATGTGGCGATCGCCTCGGCACCTCGCACATTCGTTCACAGGTTCTCCACAACTGTACTGATCGAGGGTGATTCCTTTTTCCGAGTGGGGTCTCTCGCTTGGCACTTCCTTTGCAGTAGTACCAGACGTGTCGAGTCAGTCGTACAGCACTTGCACGGGTGGGTACAGCACTTGCACGGGTGGGGCTGCCGACCGAGAATTCCTCAGCGATTGCGACCACCAGATGTGTGAGCATGTGGAAAAAAGTGTTACGGATGAAGGCCGCCGGGTGTTTGTCAGAAAGAAACTCCCGCTGATCCTACGTCTTCGCATCCTTTATTGTTCTTCGTTTTCAAATCGGAGCTCTCGTACTGGCAGACCCTTGGGGCGCTCGTTTTTCGAGAGGGCCTGCCAAGTAGTGTTAGGGAGTGCTCGAGGGGACTTATCAAGAGGGAGCATTTGACGGGAGGGTCTGTTGCAGCATCTTTGACGCATCTTGGGTTGGCTTTGGTCCAATCCTCCTTCTCCTCCTCGTTCTTCGTCCCTAATTCGTGGAGCCTATTAGTGGCCGAGTGTCGCCGTGGCCCCAAAAAACATCCGTGGCGCCCCGGCGCCACCGCCTAGACACAGGCACAGCCTCAGCCTCCGCCTCCCGCCCCGCTCCTGCTCGCTTCCCCTCTGCCCCCCTTTCTCCTCCTCCCCCCCCCCGTCTTCCTCCTGCCTGCTCTCCTCCCTCCTCCTCCCCTCCCTCCCTCCCTCCCTCCCCCGCTCCTCCTCCTTCCTCCCTTCCCCCCCCCCTCCGAACCCGCACGGGGCGCGGCCGCTCCTCCCCCCCCCACCCGTGCGAGCGGGGCGACGGCGGCGGCGGCGGGGCCGCGCTCCCGCGAGGAAAGAGCCCCGGGGCGGCAGAGCGACGGCGACGGCAGCGACGGCGACGGCGACGTCTCCTCCCTCTCCCTCGGGAGCAGGAAGAGGGTGCCCATGCCGCGACCCTCGCTTCGCTTTCCCCCCTGAGGGCCCTCGGGGCGGCCCTCGTCGCCACCGCCCGGTTCGCTTCGAGATTCTGGTCAGGACGCGCCCCAGGAGAGGCCCGGGGATTAGCGATGGCAGTCCCTCGTCCTTCCTGTTCCATCCAATCCTCTTGCCCAGCTGACAGTCAAGGCCAGGAATAAGTTTATCATCCGCAGGGCCCCTCACCTGCAGGGCCTGCTCAGGTAGGCGTTCAACCAGGATGCCGCTCCGACGGGTGGGGCTCTTCCTTCGTCCTCCTGTCTCCCGTCGCAAGTGCACTGTCGATTTGTTGTTCAGGCCACGGTGCGTTACATGAGTTTGCCTTCTGCAGGTCGGCTTGTGCGTTGTTCCCAGTTTGCCTGGTGATTTTTTGATTCGCAATGTGGCCGTGTCACCCATGGTGTTTTGCGTAGAAAATCGACGGCGCCGACGGCGGCGGAGGGGGGCTGCGTCGAATATTCAAAGCCTGCATGGACGTAATGAACATATATTTGCGGAACTCCGTTCGGATCTCTTGGATCCGCGTGGGCTTCAGCACGGCTTGTGCCTTTTCGTCCAGTTTTGTTTTCCCTTGCTGCGGCGATCGCGGGCCCAGGTCTGCGTATCGATGCCTTTCTGGACGGGTCTCATCCTTCCCGGGGCCCCTTGGGTGCCGTCGTCGCCACGACAGGGTTCCCCTCGAAGTTCTTGCCAGAATGCACCCGTGGATAGTTCAGGGGGGCGATATTTGTACGGAGGGGGAGGGGGATAAGGAGGAGGACCATGATGATGATGATGATGATGATGATGATGATGATGATGATGATGATGATGATGATGATGATGATGATGATGATGATGATGATGATGATGATGATGATGATGATGAGGATGAGGATGAGGATGAGGATGAGGATGAGGATGATGAGGATGAGGATGGAGGAGGAGGAACTGCATAGACGATGATGATGATGATGATGATGAGGATGAGGATGAGGATGAGGATGAGGATGAGGATGAGGATGATGAGGAGGAGGAGGAGGAAGAGGAGGAAGAGGATGAGGAGGAGGAAGGGGAGGTGGAGGAGGAGGAACGCACTCCATGCATGTTGCTGGTAGACGCTGTAGGGTCAAGTGGGCGCGATTCCGAAGAAAGAGCACGAAGTGGGAAGGTGTGGCCTTCCACTGAGCTGCTCATATTTTTCAGATTCCAGATTCCAGGATCCAAGTCTTTGGGTTTGAACAGGGGCCGCCGTTCATCCCGCCGTTGCATGTTCAAGCTTTGAAGTTATCTGATTTCAGGAGGTTTTGGGCGAGAGCCAGGTTGTGGAGGAGGGCCTCCTTTGATTCGTGTGTACTTTGAAAATGCGAATCCGAGGCATTGCATCCTTTGGCCGGGATCTACGGCTGGAGATGCCTGTTCAGGCGAAGGGGCGACCGAGATCGATAATATCAAGGCCATAGCCTGCTATTCGAATCACTCGTGTTACCTATTGTTCTGTGTGCGTGACCTGCGGCACGCTGCCAGTGTCCGTGAAATTGCGAGTGACACTGGGAATGTGGCGCTGGAGGTCTGTATGGAAGACAGTACGTGACCGGAAAGTGGGCTCAGGAATATGGCTCGGATCATATAATAAAAAGGGAAAGTCGCCCAATGGTTCGCTGGTCTTTGCAACCGCCATGTTCTGTGTTGGCAGTTTGAGCCGAAGACTGCGACTCTGCCAGGAGAGTCCACACGATGTGACGCTATCGTTTCGTTCCACACAAGTAAACGTACCCTCCCTCCTATTCCTGCTGCTCCTGCGCTCCTGCTCCTGCTCCTGCTTCTGCTCCTGCTCGTCCTCCTCCCTCCCTCTGTCTGCCTGTCTCTCTCTGTCTCTCTGTGTCTCTTTCTCTGTGTGTCTGGCTCTCTCGTTCTCTCCGTCTCTCTCTCTCTGTTTCTCTGCCTCTCTCTCTCTGCCTCTGTCTCTTTGTCTTTTCGTCTCTCGCTCTCTCTGCCTCTCGGTCTTTCGGTGTCCCTGCCTCTGTCGCTGTCTCTGTCAGTCTATCTCTCTCTGCCTCTTTTTTTTGTTCTCTCTCTCCCTCTCTCTCTCTTTCTCTCTCTCCCTTTCTTTCTCTTTCT